TATATTGACCTTTCACCCGTGCCTGGCTAACAATACAGAAGTTATAATGATATGGCTCACGTGCACTCATGTTACCGTATCAAATAACATAAAATTGACCTTTGGTCTGTACAAAGTAACTTGGCTTGGCTTTTTTTCAGTCAACTAGTAAAATACAGTCACATTTCAATTATTATACATTATATATGTATATAGATAGATTATTGCTATTTTGAAATAAGTTCTTTAACACATTTTTCCTAAAACATAGAATAGTAAATAATAAAGTAAAGCAAACAATTATCTCTTCTCGTTATGATCTTTGTACTTGGTTGCTGCTTGATGTAGGTTTCTAAGCCTTTAAAAACTTTGCACATGGAGGATATGAAACAGAATATTTTTTTTAGGTTTTATATATATATATATATACATATACATTTGATTTACCAAGAAATCATAAATTACTACATAAATACCACAGAATTCAACTATAATTCATCAAGCTTAGTAACTAAGATGTATTTTACTCTTCAAAAAATATGAAATATTGAGCAGAATGGTTTGTACGAATTAGAAACTCAAGTTACAGATATTGAAAAGCTAAAATATAAAATAAAAAGGTCTTTTCTATTTGCTAAGCTTTATCATATAATAAATACAGTGGCACCTCGCCCCCCTCTTTCCACTTTTGAAAACACTCCCTTATATACACTTACTTCTATACATGACATGAATAACCAATCAGAAGCTCAGAATGTCCCCCTAGTGGCTAGTGTCATTTCTTTCTTTTGAACCAAGATTTCAATGAGGTAGGTTGTGTCTTTTATAGACTTAGTATTTTGACTTCAAAAACATCTAATTTGAACCAGTGCTGCATTCAACATACCACGTGACACAAAAATCAATGTTTATTTGTGTTTTTTTTTAATATTTACTTTTAAATTAAGAAATTGGGTAATGTACAGTTCCAAAATTTGAATTATAATCTACAGTTTGATACCAAACTTATTAACATAAATTCATAAAATAGTAGTTCAATAAAATTTTGAATGCAATCAACAAATGAGATGACATGGCCCTTCAACTATGACCCGTCTCGAAAATGTTAATGTGTGTTCATACCTGTCAGAGATAAAATATTCCACACAGTGATTGAAGTAGGTGTTGCACAAACCACCAGGTGACAGCAACTTTTCTGACCAAACAATACTTGGCTATACAAAAAAAAAATAAAGGTATGTTTTGTATCTGTTTTTAAAAGGTGAAAAAGAGAAAACAAGCATTACTGAAGTTCAAATTGTTTTAAAGTTCTACTACATGTGACTGTAATTTGTATGTAATACAGAAAGCTGGGTCTATCTTAATATCCAACCTAAATCAAACTAGCTAAAAATTAGTTTTAGTGTTCTAAGTATTTAGATTTAAGATAGAAGTTAAAATTTTGAAAATATAATGTTATAAGAATAAAATAACTACTTATTATCATTTATAAATAGTTGGCCCACCTGATATTTTCTTCACTTCTTGGATGACACAATGTTGCCTTTAAAGCATTTGTCTCTGATTCCCAAAGTGTAGCTATATGGTCAAAACTTACAGCGAGAAGGGACCCATCTGTGGAGAAATCAGCATCCTTGGCAACCATATTACGGTAAAAGCCAACAGACTGACAGTTCCAACACAGTTGTTTACCTAATAAAATTAAAACTTAAGAGTTACTAGCAAGCCTAAAAAAAACCTAAAATCAGACTACTTGTACAGATTGTATAAAACCTGAATTTTAAAGGAAAACCATGTTAAAAATCACTTTCCGCACTGAGTAATAAAAGGCAAGCAAAAGCCAACTTTTCAACCGTAGTAGAGTAAAACAATCTAGTCCGTATATTGTAGCAAAACAAATTTTACCAATTTACACTTGGGCTGGGCAATTACCTATGAGCATTAATTACATTAACTGGTGACATATAAAATAATCAACTAATAGAAATTAGCATTTTTGATTATTCCAAGTATCCAAATAGTCAAAAGATTGCCAATACAGTTTCTCGTTATTATTTCTGATTAATTCAAGGCTGTTCAGCTTAATTGGTTAGTGTCATAACTCCCAAAAATAATCAAAATTAATGTTTCCAACTACTCCAACTACCCAAGTCTCATGTGAGAATAATCAATTAAGTAAATGTAACTGATTAATGTGACTGACCATTAATCAATTAGCAAGTTCCACTAAACACCCTGCTCTCACAAGTATAGGCTAGTACAAAATCCTTTATTCAGAAAAAGATTTCTGTATGTCATGAAGACTAAAACACTGTAAATCCTGCTAATATCATGGAATTTCTAATTCTTCTACTTAAACATTCTTTATGGAATGCAAACAAATGAAATATGATCAATGTCTTTGCAGTTATAACTTGTCCAAATCACTGTATTTAGCAAAATGTATGAGAATGCTACTAAGTCTATAGTTTCGTATGAATTAGAAACTCAAATTACTGTTATTGACAAGCTAGAATATAAAATAAGATGGTATTTTCTATTTGCTAAGATTTATCATGTAATAAATCAAACACAGTGGCACCCTGCCCACATCTTTCCACTTTTGGAAACATTCCCTTATATACATTTACTCTTATATATGACATGAATAACCAATTGGAAGCTCAGAATGTCCTTCTCAGCCATTTTAACAGGCTTGGATGCCATTTCTTTCTTTCGAACCAATATTTCAAGGAGGTAGGTCGTGTCTTAAGTCTGCTCAAAATTTGATATTTTCTTAGACTGAAATACAGTTTAGTTACTAAGCTTGATAAATTATAGTGGAATTCTATGGTATTAATGTAGTAATTTACATGTATGTATATATAAAATCAAAAAAAATTATTTTGATTCATATCCTCCATGTGCAAAATTTTAGAAGGCTAAGCAACCTACATCAAGCAGCAACCGAGTACAAAGATCGCAACTAGAAGAGATAATTGTTTTCTTTACTTTATTTACTGTTCTATGTTTTAAGAAAAATAAGTTTAAGAACTTATTTCTAAATAGCAATAATCTATACACATATATAATGTATAATAATTGAAATGTGATCGTATTTTACAAAATACTATTCTACTAAAACACAGTCATGACAGGTCACTTTGTTAACACTAAAGGTCAGTTTTATATCATTGGATATGGTAACATGAGTGCACGTGCACCCCGTCATTAAAACTTCTGTATTGTTAGCCTAGCTGAAAGGTCAATATAATAAAAATAATAAATATATATAAATGTATAATGTTATGAGATTTAAGCTATTTAGTCTAAACATTTATGTTTTCGTGTTATAATTTGTAGTCATTCTACAATGAAAAAGGCATAACTTATATTTATTTCCTAATTTTTTTAACATGGTTAGGAGATCGGTCAAATCAACCAAAGCCGTACATTATAAAGATTTCGCATGCGAAATCTGAAAATTTTCTGATGCACAAAAGTATTTTTAATCTTAAAATCAAAATTACTTTGCATATTGGATAGGCAACATGCAAAAAGAAAAAAAGCATGAGAAAAACATTGCTTTATAAACCTTAAGACTTAATAAAGAAAATTTATATTTGCATATGAAAGCATTATGTTTACTGATAATCTGCCAAATTTTGTTAATATTACATTTACTAATT